TTAAATTTATAAGTAAAAAACGTTGCTCTTAAATCTTCATGTTTCTGTAACCAGTTGATTCGTTCGATATTTCTGCGCCATTGTGTTCCAGCTTATTACAGGATATATCTATTAATCTAATATAATAAATGCATAATATTATCTTTATGCTATGCGAATTGAACGTGTTTATAATCAGTGTTCTATATATTCATAAACAAAAGTCACAAATGAGATTGTATTCGCATACTTAACCTATTCAGAAACGTTAGAGGGACTGTTCTTTAATCACAGTGTACGTTCTCTGCAAACGTGTTCTCTGTTGTGATTTATTACGTAAAAACACTATTACACATTCTACTTTTATTGAAGAGGTAAATGTATTGTTTTCTACTCATTACACATTTATTGAAGTTGTATTTGTTTGTTTGTAATTAAGCAAAAAGCTAGACAATGGGCTATCTGTGCTCTGCCCACCACAAGTATCGAAACTCGGTTTCTAGCATTGCAAGTCTGCAAATATATCGCTGTGCCACTGGGAGGCGTTGAAGATGAGATTGGAATGTGTTCTACGATCTAGACTTTAATTAAAAGGGTAGATAGAGTATGTATAAACATTTATAAAAATTCTCTCATTTACTACCAAATGTTCTGTCATAAACTAACTGATGTTTGTTTCGAATACATGAATATTGAATGTATGATAGTTTCATTTGGAATTACAAAAACATTTAAATATAATATCAATGTACAGAGTTATCTCTTGTTTTCGAGAAAGGAAAAGTATTTAGGCTCTCTTTAAATAACAGTTTAGTAGATTTAAGCATAGAAAAACTTGATTAATATTTATGTGATTAATTTGCAGATTCCACCATTTAGTGGCTCAGTCGCTACTCTCGTATGGAAATAATTAGTTATGCAATTTATAATTTATGTCGTTGTTGTTTTCTTAGTGCAAAGCTACACAATTGGCTACTTACACTATGTCTACTGCGAGGGAATGAACCCCAAATTTTTGCATTACTTACCTAAGTCAAGGAAATAATAATTTGTTGAACCAAGTCCTTGATGGAGGAATGAGTTGTATCTGTTTGATCTGGTAAAATGTTCTATCTGAGTCGACGAAAATTTTCAAGTGGAATGCCATGTGGAATTATTGAATTTCGATATTTTTACAGTGAATTAATATATATATGAATAAAAGCTATAACTGAATAGTTTGTTGTTGTTTTCTTTAGTGCAAAATGGACACATCTCATTGGTTAGCCAGCGGTACTGTGGATACGAGGGGTTCATTGTTTTTGTCCCATTACCGCAAAAAAAACAGAAATCGTGCTACAATTTTTGTTTGTGTTTATTTTAAACCAAATTACATAAATATGTTTTTCAAATATAAAATACATAAACGAGTGTGTTTTCAAGTACAAGTTGCCTAAAATATTACTTTCACATAGAAATATATATATATTTCCAAACATTTTAATTTTGTATTTCCATCTCATTTCACCCAACTCATTATTAGATGTCAGCACAATCAAAAGTTTGTTCGTTATTCCAGATGACTTTCAGTGAGCAGTGCTTATGAATTTACATTGTTATCAAGTAGCTGAGCACTGATATTTATCAAGTTCACGTCACCTTTTTCTTAGAAATGATTAATAGACGAAATCTCTGCATTTTCTGTTTTATTTCATTTGACCCACCCATTTACTCTACAACGTTTCTTACACACAGAAGGTAAGAAATGTTTGAAAACTTATAGTTTGCATCTGCCTCAAATTTGTTCCCAGGTTTACATATTCAAGAAATAAAATAAAAAAATAAGCAGAATAAAAACAATTTATTGTATCATAATAAACGAATAGGAAACTATAATTTTAAATGAACCTAATACCCAAAGTGAATTAAATATTAGAGAATCAATATAAATTTTGTGCTGTAAAATAAATAATGGAGGGTTAGTTGGCGATAATGCATAATTTTGGAAATAACTATTGACTTCTTATGTACAATACTCACACCACCCTCATAGATTACAATGAGTTAAACCGTTGCTTTATAAAATTACTCGCTTGTCATGTAGGTTTTACTCCTGATGACGGTAGCATAAAGCTACCGAAACATGTAGAGTCTTAATTTTGGCTTTCCGCCAAATAAAAATGTTATTGTGTAATATAAACGTTGATGTTATTTTTAATTTTAAAATCTATTGCACAAGCTGGTAATTGAATCTTCAATACAATTAGACACCAGAGTTGTAATAACCTTATTTTAAGTAAATTCACTACAATATTTTTCTCTGTTAAACATAATAGCAAAATGCATAAAACATTTACTTCAAGAATCATGGCCAAACCATTAAGTTATGTATGTGTTTATATAAAGTATATATATATATATATATGGCGTTTATGTGAAGTAGTTATAGATTTTTTCATGTCAAATGCTGACCTATTTTAGTATATGTAAACTAGCTTGTCTTTAGTAAATTACGACAAATCACAATCAGCTACAGATTTTCTAAAAATTATGTCAAAGAAAGAAATAAAAATTCCCATTTTATGTTGTTTTTGTTAGTGGCAAACCAAATAGACTCTTGACCTATTTAAACTCATCTTGCATACTGCTGTTCAAGGCCGCGTCAGTAAATTTTGAATATCATTATTATTCTGAGTGTAAAACGAGAATTAAAACGTGTTGGCTTATCAAACAGATGCATTGAATTAACTATGTATATTTTTTGTAACTTATACTATTATACATTTTCTATCTTTTCTTTGTAGTGGTTTGTTTTTATTATTAATGCAGTTGTGAAAATAATGACAAAACGGTTCACGTCGAAACATGTACGTGTAGAGTGATATTTCTATTTTAAAGTGAAAGCCGTTCAGCTTTAATAAAGTTTTTATTGTGTAAATACAAAACGTTGTTTTATAATTATTCATTATAAATTTAAAAAAAGTAATTAACTCACCTCAGCTGTAACTAGAGTACTCAGCAAAGCATCCGACTTTGTATAATAAATAATTTGGGTTAAGATTAATTCGTGAATGGTATAAACTAATAAACTGCAAATATTAAGATGTTATTCTCTATAGATTCATTTCTATTTTAAAGATGAACTTAAAAAAAATTGTCAGACATTCTAGAGATTTGCAAAACAACTAAAATATTGTTTGATTAAACATTTATTGTCATTCACTCAACTGATAGGTGGCGCTTATGATATTGCTTCTTGAGGATGTTATTGTGGTTGACGGAAAATAAAATGTTTTAATAGCTTTGTGGTAGGAGCTTGATGGACACTAAATAAAGAATAAGAACACGCGATATTTTAGTCAAAAACTTTTCTTCTTCTCTATTTTGGTATATTAATATATATATATTTTAAAGTTTGAAGTTTGTCGATATTGATGACGAATGCAATTGTCAAGGTCACTATATAAAAAGATACAAAACAACAAATTTACAAGAGCGTTTTCAAATATCTTACATGTTGATTACAAATCTACAATTATATATTTGGAAATAAAATAGATAACATTTAGTTGTTGAAAAGTAGTTTTGTGAAGCAAGAAAAAATAACAGAATAATTTAATAAATGGAGGGGAGATCAATATAAATAATTTGATTACTAAAAATGTGGTAAAAATTATGACAATAGATAAAACTGACGTCGTGAAGTTATTTCTTTAAATATATCATTCTCAATTATTAAACAGAATAAATTGAATCCATGAAAACATATATTCGTTGTACTTGTAAATGTTAGTTGCTTGTATTTCCTCTGCGGGTTTATCTACCAAATGTGTCCCTCGTAAGACATATATAATGACTCCACTGAATGATATTGCCATCATGAACTCGGTGTGTTTGTCTATTATAGTAAATTAACAAACTATTCAATCTATGATGCTCTTGAGAGATATGAAGAAATTGGTTGACCTATTGAAAGCTAATAGTGCACGAAATTATAATCGTAAAATAGGTTATAATATTTGGACAAATCACAAATACTGTTTATCCAATACACAAAATAGTAAATTGATATTCGTCATTTAAAAAGCACGCAAGCTTCCTAAAGTTACAAGTCATAACATCATTAACGTGTATTTTTTTTCTTTTGATTACAATTTGGAGCATGAATATACTGTCTCATTTCTAGTTATAATGAAACATTAATTGTTTTATAATATAATGAAATGACTTAGTAGTTTAAAGGTGTGAATGAATAATTTTATACTTTTCTTTCTCCATATTTCAAAAAAAGACAATAATATTTGGTTCAATGTGGTCAAAACACGTTTTTTTACTAAATAGCAAATCCCACGATAGATACTTTTTACAATATATAAAAAGGCAATAATGACTCATTACACTAACAGCAAAATATTGTTTGAACATTGAGAATGATCGCACCAGCGATCGAAACGTCGTACCTATTCTAAATAATATTCTTCTTTACTGTCAAAGTTATAACTTGCAATAAAATAATGCTTATAATGATTAAGTAACTCAAAACGAAACTCTTATACAAAGTTTTATTGAGCATACAAGCCACCCGTCTACTTAAGAAGCACGAATCGTATGACTTACAAATCATTGTGTGTAATATCACTACTAGTACGACTTACAAATGATTGTGTGTAATATCAGTACTAGTACGACTTACAGATGATTGTGTGTAATATTAGTACTAGTACGACTTACAAATGATTGTGTGTAATATCACTACTAGTACGACTTACAAATGATTGTGTGTAATATCGTCACTAGTATGATTCACAAATTATGTTATGTAATATCACTATTAGTACTGCTCGCAAATTATACTGTGTAATATTACTATTAATATGATTTACAAATTATGTTGTGTAACTTCCTTATAAGTATGGGTCATAAATTATATTGTGTAATATCATTATTAATATGGGTCATAAATTATATTGTGTAATATTACTATTAGTATGGCTCACAAATTATGTTGTGTAATGTCGATACGCAGATGAAACTGTACAACATTGCGATGCCTCACAAGTCACAACTTTATTGGGTTAACATACAGGCTACATTATATAACAGTGGACGATCTGTACGAGACACTTTCATACAAATATCTCATTAATATTTAGACAAAACGGTTGAGTTTTTCAAAACCCATTGAGGAATTCTGCTGGCTGAATAAGCTAAACATAAAATTTCTGTTTTTCATCATGTGTCCTTCTGAAGAGTAAATTTCAAGTAGACAGAACTATCCCTGCTGTTATATGTAGTCTATGTGTGAGCTTGTAAAGCTTTGAGCTATGATAACAACTGTGCTCAATATATTAAATAGATTGAGTTAAGCTCCTCTCGTAATATAATGTTACTGCCAAACGCGTTTATTTGTGTTTCAATAAGCGTTTCTATTTCATTTTCCCTAAATATAACAATGGCAGTAACAGTTTTGGGTAACAGAAGTTTTTATTGGGAAAAAGAATCATTATAGCCAGATACCAGTTCTGAAACAAGCTTCAGGAAAGTGTTCCTTTAGGTCCTCCGGCATTTTATCTTACTTGGAGAGATATATTGGTTTAATCCTAACAGATTACAATTTCTTACAAACGCATATATTTACATGCATAGACTCTCATGAAAAATTTGGTAGTTTTGAATTGTTGCCATATCATTTAAAGCAGAAAAATTATAAAACAAAGCAAAATCCTGAGTTTCATCATTGTTATATCCAGAAGTTTACACAAACCTTGTTGCCATGACTTACAATTCCCACACACACACACACACAACAAAAAAAACTGTTTTAAACAAAGAATAGTTCAAACATTAAGTTGATTAAGGAAGAATGAAAGAGCGAAGACGTCAGATTTTCTTAATTATTATTGCTTAATATTTCTATTATGCATATCATTCCTTGAATATCATACCAAATGCTACAATTCTATGTAATCTCTAATTCAACTCTATCTATAAGTAAGATAATAGGGAAGTATAATCTACGTCATTCCAAGGTATCGAAAAAAAAACAAAAAGAAAAACACACATGCACATCAATAATTAATCCTCAAACAAACGCAGATATAACTACTTTTTCAATTATGTTAATAAAGCTAAAATCATTTTACGTTGTTTTTCTAGAATAATCTATGTGAAACAATGAATGAACATTATCATCTACCGTATGTTAAGCATTTGCTAATTACAGCTGCAAAGTGAAATCCAACAGAAATGTTTACACACTATTTACACAAACATGTAACACATCAACCAACGCTCACCTGAATAAACATGGTAAACTCGTAATTTGTAAAATCTTGTGCTCACGTTTGAACGATGAAATTGTTCAATGTGTATTTTCCACTTTCATAATTATGTGGCATTACCATTTCTGTGTGCACTCAGAAACAACTATTTAAATACAAGTTGTAGTGATTACCTTACTGTGGTAATTATTATTCATTATCTCAACACCATAGGCAACTGAAATTTTTAAACTACTATTGAATAATCCCACGTTTATTGTTTCGCAGAAATATCCTGGAATGACGAGTGTATTATTTTCTGAAATAAAATAACATTTTTCTTCTTATGCGGTTCCAACACTATAGAAAATGACCTTTTACTCATATCGATATTTATAATAGCTAAAATATGAAGATAGACTTTAAATACCTATCCTGATTTGTTAATGAAACATTTTAAGAAGCCCAAAAATAATAACTATACGATATATATGAAGCTGAACTATGGATGATTTTTTTGCTTAAGTGGTTCGTACAGATGTTCTGTATTTCCATACACCTTCCAGATTCATATTTTAAAGAAGCTTTTGTTTCGGATTGGTGTAATTGAAGTCTGTCATTGAATTTTTAGTTACTGTTTCTGTACCGCAGTTACATCACTATATAAAGTTTATTACAATTTAATCAAAACAGATCTGATGCCAAAAACTAAAACAAAAACTAATTTGCGTAGAATTATCCTTCGGCTTGGCTAATCTGCCTAATAGAAACAAAGAAAAGGATGTGTAAAAAACTTCATTTTCACTTAACCTTCACAATATGGTTTACTAAAGCAACGAGAACACGAGTAACGGTTCAACCTTTAGTGTAAACTTCATAATATTTGTGATTTCACAACTCAATCAATCTCCAAAGCTCTATCCGATATTTTCTACATTGATTTACAATTTATAAAGCAGGAAGTGTTCTCTAAAGCTTCAGTAGTATCCGTAAGTAAGGAGGACTTTTAGACTCTGAAAGAAATGCAATCGCATTTTTTATATTTATGAATGCAGACATCTGATAATTTCTCAGCACATTCAAAGAGCTAACGTTAACCACAAAAACACTTCAAACATTTCTTACTCCAAACCATATGAAGATATCCACTAAATAACTTTTACATCTCTCATCCTTCAATTCTGTCACGTTTTTATAGCACAGTATCTTTACCTTCATAGCTCATTGAGTGTTTTGCCTCAATGCATTATTTTTAACCTTTACAGCTCTTTGAGCACATTTCCATAAAGTATTTTCTTTGCATTTCCCTCATTGAGTGCTCGATGGAAAAATTTATCAAACTGTTACAGTGCTTTGTTTGCCTTTCTGATAACACTTTCTTGTTAAACTATTATATATATATATAAATATATTTAAATTTGACGGTTAAACCACATTAGAATTGGTGGAATTCCTTGTTAGCTTTCGAAATTTGGGTTTTAATTAAACTATTAGAATTTTATTTTCTTCAAATAAAACTCATTAAACAACAACAAAACTAGCCGAAATTTTCAAAATTTTCACTGAAAATGTAAAAATACGTTTCAATGTGCACCAACCAAAACAAAACAAAATCTATTCAGAATAATTTGATGTAGGAACTTGGCCGATTACGAACTTCTTTATGCTGTTTTGCATTAGCTACTAATAAGCCCGAATGACAGGTAAACGTAGTAAGATTGAAAAACACGCGTTATGCTTTACCTAGAAGGTCATATATATATACAGACTTTGTGTAAGAGTTTTTTTCCCCCATTGTGTGTCTAAATGAATTAAAGTTGATTTATAAGGGTTATTAAGACGAAATCATTACACATTCCGCTGAACTTAAACAATGGAAGAGAAACACAGCATAAGATACAAAGATTAGTCTCGTAGGCGACGCTTCACTTAGTGTCTGTGCTGTCCAATAGTTCGCTGTTACTTAAAACACCACCACATGAAATCCAATCTGTTCATCAAGAGACTAGTCAACATTCTTTCCCACCACGATCAGCTACTAATCGCACTCAAAGGTATATAATGCCTCCATCCGACGACACCAAATGGATAATAACGCTTATCAGATAGTTTGTCTGCACTCCAATGTCGCACCAGCGTACGATTACGAGGCCAAGTTTGATCCGTGGTGCGAGGGGCTAGGAATTCGCCGCGGTCCTTCGATGACTCCTGGTGTAACGGCCTGCACAGCACCACCGAATGGATGTATAAATGTGGAGACGGCCGCTGGCGACTGTTCCAGTGGCGACAGACCAGAGAAATGGCGGACAAGACCTCGGGCACCAGCTGAAGTGTCGTTGCTCAGGTGGCCGTGGTCTTGGTTTGCATTATTAATGCTTTCCTGCTTTATAATGACACCTGTAGAGTGGTAGGCTGGGGTGGCCGCAGCAGGCCTGGAGCTTGAGGTTGCCTTATCTGAAAGAAAACGGACAAGGTTGACAGGATAACCTAGTATCGAAGTGCTTCTGCAGCCTTCAAGTGTTTGTAGCTTTGATTAATAGTATCTATTCAGAATCCCAACACTAAATAAACATAAGAGTTTCTTCGTAAAATATCAACTGAACTATAAAATAATCTTAATAAATTAATTATCCCATAAGCAAAAACAGTAGATTTCATATTAAACTTGCTTGTTAAGTCATTTATTATGGTGATTATGTAATATGATATTGATTAACTATTGTAAAATTAACTTCATAGTCATATCTTATCCGAATGTTCGTATGTAGAAACATAAAAACAGAGATAGAATAATATCAAATTAGTTCCAAGTGACGCCAAGATTCTACAAATACATAACACTCAGCAGCTAAAAAATGACAAAGAACCAATTTCAAACTAATATTTGAAATCTTTCAGAAAAAGTCATAGGTTTTTAGCAGCATGACAAATTTTTGTGTTGTTGTTTATTCCAAGTAAAATAGAAAAGCGTGGAAGTAATTTAAACAGTAAAGAAATAAATCAGATGTAATTCAAGAAACGTCCAATTGATGTGTAAAAAAAACAGCCATACAGGATTCCAGTTTAAAAAACTACCTATTAGTTGAGCTTAAGCGCAATATTATGTAAATATAAAAAAAAAATCGAAGAGTATTTTCATTCGTGTACTTTTCATCTGCAAGACTTTTTTCAGCCTTGAGTGATAGTTTATATTTAAATGACAACTGTTTTTGTTATTAAATCATTATATACTACGTGGTTAGCTTAATATCATTCAGTTGTCTAGTTTTCTATAACTAGAAGATCAGTTTCTACCAAAATAATGCACTGACAGATCTACAAAAAAACAAAAAAAAACATTGTTGAACAGTGTCGTTAGGAGATGCTTCAACAAGTTACATATACTGTTTTAACACGTTATAGTGTTATTTGTTTAAAATGTTTGAAAATAACTAGCTCTGAAGAAACCATAAAGACGAAACGTTGTTTAAATTAAAATAACAGTTTCCTTATAATTATCTGGAGTGTAAAGGTAATTTTTTTCTAATTTTGTTATCAAAATCAAAATAACAACATTGTGCCTGTATTCAAGGTCAATACTGGAAATCCTTTGTTGATCTTAGAACTAAAAATTGGTTTTTAACATTACATTTATACTGTGCTTGATATTTTATGTAGTTTAGCCAGATGTACTATATAGCCTACAATCCACTAGAACAGCTAAGTGGTAGGGTCTGAAACTTTATCATAGTCATCAACTATGAAACAAGGTGTTAAAGACAAATATTAAAAGTTTTAAAAACATATTTCTGATTAATTTCTTTAACAAATCACAACAAATATATCTTGATTTTTTGCAGTCATATTAAACACTAAAATAAATTCAAATTAATGAGGCTAACGTTAGCGGGCGAATGCAACATGTCTCCCCCACGCAATCCCAACATGGTCAATTTTGACACCAGAAAAATCGTGAAAAACGCATAAAAATCGAAAACTGTCTATATTACTGTTTGGGACCTGCAAGAGCGCATCTTTGCACTACACCTCGTGTAAGTTGCTTGATATACACATGGACAGTTCACGAAAATCCCAAATTGTACTTTCCTCGCTGAAAAATTGAACAAAAGAAAAAAAATTCAAAATTGTCTATATCTCCCTTTGAGACCTGCAAAAAGTATATTTGTACCAAATTTTATGTAAATTGTTCGAAAAAGGTCTAAGTAATTGACTAAAACTCCTAAAATTATTGATTTATTTAATCTATTGATTCCCCTAAAATAACCAAAAATGGATTTATCCCACACTCTTTACGTATATTCCTGGCCTGTAAAAAGTATCTTTGTACCAAATTCAATGCAATTTGGCCGAAATACGGCTGAACAATTGCCAAAAAACCCCAAAATTATGTTTTTTTGTGACATTTTGACTTTTCTATAGTTACTAAAAATGGCCAAGTTCACCATTTTTGTTTGTCAATGTGTGGGACCTAAAAAAGTATTGTATCAGTTCTATGTAAATTAAACAAAATATGGCCAAATATTTGACTTAAAAACCCAAAATTATGCATTTTTGTGAGCTCTGACACCCTTAAAAATATTTAAAATAAGCAAATCCAACTTTTTTATTTCAATGTGTTGGGCTCATGAAAATGTATATTTGTGCCAATTTTCATTTTGATGACTGTAAATATGACCGCACAAAAGCCCAAATATATATTTTTGAGTTTTTTTTACCTTTGACCCAATTACATCCTTAAAAGGGCCTGAAAAATATAAAAAAATGTGTCTGGTCATATTCTATCTATCAAGTTTTAAGTCAGTCCGCTGAGAAATGAAGGAATGGCGATCCATTGAAATGTGTTTGGAGGAAGAAAAAAGAAAGAAGAAACAATAGAAAACCAATATGTCTCTCTGCGGTGACATATATAAACATATTTCTAACAACAAAACCATATAATGGCATTAGTAATATTTTCAGCTTAATTTACAAATTGACTTAGGATATATATTTAATCTTTAGGGTGGAAATATTTGCGCCAAGTTTAAGTAACAAATAGAACTTCGTTTTTAATATACGGAGAATATGATGTAACAAACGACCGTGATGTTAAAAAATCGGATCAAACACGAAATAAATCACAAAATGAAATAACTCTGTAACCGTAGAGCTTTACTCAAGAGTGAACTGGGAAGAAAGAAGGGCCATGTTATAATCCCTGGTGTTATGCGAAAAGTCTCATCGGCATTGGATATAGCAGATATATTGTTGTTGACATATTGTTATAGATTCTACTTTACCTCCATTTTTAAGCACCTAGAATCCCGAAAGCGCTTGTGTTATCGAGTTTCTTATCTTGTGATTTTCATAATAAACGATGCTACGCTTAGCACTTTTGTAATTTACAACATTGCATCTTGTAAGCATTGAGGTGTGTCACAGCTGACTTAAGAGTAAAATATGCTATGTAACTTAAGGAATACACGTTCTCCAACTATAAAATGATAATCATATATTTCATGAATATAATTATTAGAACAATAAGTAATAAAGGCCAAATATTATAAGAAAAGTTGTAAATATATTTATTTATTCGTAGCAGAATATTAGAGTTAAAGAAAGTAAAAGCAGTGATGTGATCATTGAAAGGTGTAATTCTGTAGTCTGTAAAAATAAACTTAGTGTGCTCAGATAAAAATATCAAGACTTTCTTAGCTTAATCAAAATAAAATGTAAAAAATAATACTTGATTTGCTTCAGTTCATATATATTTAAGCTGATTAATTAGAGGCAAAAATTGGTAACAATTATCTAAATCAATCAATTAGTTGCATGATATGTATGTTACAGGCTTAAGAAGAAAAATCTCATTTGACAATTAACTAATTCTGAACAGTGTAGGGGGAGTAATTTAGCATACACCATAGGCATAAAAATTATACCGGCTGATTCTGAAGTCCCTTGACAGGTAAATAATTCAGAAATGAAAGTGTGTGGGAAAATAATTATTAGTGCTGTGGAATGAGGTGTTGTGGGCTTACTTTGTGATAATGATACTGAGGACATTTAAGGTCAGCTTCAATGTCATCTCCTTCGAAACTTACATTAGTATTCACTCTACACCAAAAATGTGGTCAAGAACAAATGAAACATTTTAACCAATAATTCCCCAAGTCGCTCTACAACGACAACAGCTATAGACATAAATGCATATAAGATATTACTAAATGGTTGCAAACAGTCAATGGTTGCGTCAAATGTATAGTGTTTTCAGTTGTATTTTAGTCACAAACGTGAGCCTTTATACATATATATATAAAGGGTTTCAAGACTTTTTAGCACTTATTGTACTAATTTATTCTACTGAATTATTCACCAGACAATATGTTTAAGATACTAAAAATAATTATGATTCCCCATTTATAACTCAGTGAAAGTGTGGAATCGAATGATATATCAGGCTTCATATTTATTTTTAGTCAATAGCTGTGTTTAAAATAGTGTTCAAGTGTGATAAATGATAATATGGTGGTTTTGTTGTTAATACTGCTTTTTGTTTTTGGTCTGCCCATACCGTGTCTTTGCGTAAATGAGCCTGTAGTAAACAGCTGTTGACACACATTTCTATCATCTGATGTGAAGGATGACTTTCATCTGGAAGCCGTTTAGCATACAATTTGGTAGCAGCCTGGGAATTCTGGTGATACTGTCCAAGCAGTAGGATGGTGTTATATTATTCTTCAACTAAATGCTGACCCATTATTTAAATGATAAGGGAGCAATTGCAGCACAATGGTTGTGTGATACCTTATGTAAAATTTTTATTTTGATATTTTAAACCTTTTTGACTCTTGAAAGGTGAAATAACATACATATACAAAATTCGACCCTGCAAAGCATGTCTAAGTTCAGTTTTGGTTACGGTCGGTTTTTGATATTCTGTGGTACAATTTCATAAGCATGGAATAGGTGTATTTATGCCTATGACTGTTGCTCTTGTTTTAAAACGTTTCATGTATTATTGTCTACACCTTTACATCCGGTCTCTAACTACATCATTTAAAGAAAATCATTATAGAAGAAGCCTTTTAGTTTTGTATGATAATCTGATGTTTTCTTTAACCATTAATATTTATTTGATATATTAGAAATGTGAAAAACGATTAGAATATTGAAAAAAATGTAAGCTTTTAAATATGTTAGTATTATTAAATTTTGTTATGAATTCTTGTGAATACTTGTTTCATTAGAGAAGCTATTTTCTGTAAAATAATCTATGAATTGTTAAATATTTTTAAAACATTGAGAATAAAAAATAATATGAGCATTACCATTTGTACTAGTACTAGAGGACTTGCTTGAGGCTTTCCCATCTTGACTTTTGGGTTTACGTTTTCGAGTTTGGATTGAATCTTTCTTCATGGCTAGTGGCCGATTTACCTACAAAAAAAAGAGCATAACGAAGAAAACACCAACGGATATAAGAATTGTCTAAGTAAGACCCTAACAATACTTTTTAACACGTTACTGACTGATTAATAATGTACTCACAAAACTATCTCGGACAGAGTAAGATCAAAATCTCCCCCCTCCACACACACACAAAAGAAAAATAGATGAAATTGTTAAATCTCCTCATTTATAGTAACAATCTCCTTCCTGGAAATGTAAATCTAAAATTTTCATAAAGCAAGTAACACATCTGTATTTCATTAACAATAATGATAAAAATGTTTATCTATCATGACAGTAAAATATTGGCATATATATTTGTTGGTTTATCATTAATCCCAAAGCTAGCCGATGGTTTATGTGTGCTATAACCACCGTGAGTATCGAAAAGTGATTGTTAGCATCATAAGCCCTCATACTTACCTCTGAGCCACCGGGTGAAGGGCAGGCTTCTTTAAAAGCACTTTAATCTTACCCAACAACTGTGGTAAGATTATTCTAACGCTCTTAAAAACTTTATTATGAGAAACTGTCTTTCCTTATAAAAGTTAAGCTTTGTATAGGTTTGGTTTGTTTTGAATTTTGCGCAAAGCCGTCCCTAATTTAGCAGTGAAAGACTAGAGGGAAGGCAGCTAGTCATCACCACCCACCGCCAACTCCTGGGCTACTCTTTACTAACGAATAATGGGATTGACCGTCACATTATGACGCCCCAACGGTTGAAAGGGCGAGCATCTTTGATGGGACAGGGATTCGAACTCGCGACCGGGCCAAGCTTTGTATAGACAGTCAATGCACCCTACCACACACCATCCATGTTAAGGGATTGACCGTCACCTTTATAGCGTACTCACAGCTTATAATGGAGGAGGGATACTTTGTGATATCGCATAGATTCAAACCCGGTTTCCCAACACCCAAATCCAAAGCTGTACCACAGGGCCAACCCGCACCAAAAATGCGATCTTCTCACTAAGCATTCTCCTGATAATCAGTCGTATTAAAACTCTTTCATTTTCTCTCAACAATAAGAACAGTATTTAATTTTTGCAACTCATAAGCTTATTTTAAAAACAGTCTGGGAAATCTAATTTTCTTCTGGGAGAAAAATCACGAAGACTGTAATCTGTGAGTTGGCCTTATTCAAAGTGTTCTAAAATAAGCTCACCAAAACAGTGTCTTAGTAATTAAATAAAGTATGGAATTAAAAGTTACAAGTAAGCAGATTATTGATGAAGTATCATCATAGAAAACATATAGGTTTATTACAGCGTCCCAATAAACTTCGCTGGTAAACATTTGACTCGTGGTTGATATGAAGCATTTTTAAGCCTTAGCATGGTTAGCTGGCTTAAAGTTGACGAAAAACTGAAAGATAAAATGTCTAACAGTGCAAGAAAACAACTGTCTTCAAACATGAAGAATTAATTTTCGTTCAACACAGATAAGTAATGAAGACTTCAATTTCCTCCTAATGACGGTGAATGAAAAATTTTGGATCACCTTGGATTTAACGCATCTTAAATGAAATGAAGCCTTGTAATAATAAAAATGCACTATTTCGTAAAACCTCTTTGTAAGGGTTTAATTGTCTCTAAAACTACACATCGTATTTAATGAATATCTAACATAGTTTTAATTAATGCCGAATTTTAAAAACTTTATTTATAGAATTTATTATTAGACTTAGCTCTAAACAGAATCAAAACAATCGAAGAAAAGTAACGATCCTTAAAATTTACTGAAATGAGTAGAAAAGACTTAAAGGAATTCACGTTAGCTGATAGCACGCTAACGACTCGAGAAAGGAACGAACAAATGACTAGTAGGTAAACCTATAGATCTATGTATTTGTCAACGATGCTGTCCTATGGTGCTCGAGTTAGATTTAAATATAAACATATCAAATGGGTAATAAAAACTGACTAAAACATACAGACAGAAGCTATAGTTATACATACTGAATACTGGCATACTCAAACAAACTGACTAGCCTTGATATTCAGACGTAATGAACAGTGATAGTCAAGCATACTGACCAGCCAATATAGTCAGACACACTGACCAGTCAATATAATCAGGTATAGAACTTAGCGAATATACAGTCAAGCCAATACAGTTTTACAGAATACCAACACAGTGAAATATAAACAATCATGTAACATAGTCAGACATACTGATCAACAGGCATATTCGGGTATACAAACAAGCCATAGTGTCAAGCATATTGACCAAATCAAAACAACTTAAGTAAGATAACCAATTTATTTAGGTAAGGATTTACAGACTACCTATTTAGTACAGTTTATGCCTATTTTGTTTGTTTGTTTTGTTGTTAAACGCAAAGCTACACAATGAGATATTTATGCCGTGACCACAACAGGAATCGAAAGCTATCGGTCAAGTATTTAATACCAAATATGTATAGTACTCACATTATGTAGTTTGTAATACAAGCCACAAGCGTTACAAACTGGTTCTCCGTTATTACTTCTTCTCCACAAGGTGGTGTTACTTGTGTGGCAGTTAGAGCAAATCAAGCCAGCTCTTCTGTTGTTTGACTGCTATAAAAAGCAAATCATAATATCAGTATACTTAAAATACGTACGAACGAGTTCCATTCGTTTAAAAATTCTTATGATCTGTGTATTATAAAATACACTGTATCTTATACACATTTATATACTTAATCCAGAAAAATCTTTTTTAAGTTAGTTGGTTTTTATGTTAAACAGTCTCAACATATTTTTCTTGAATGGAATAATTGCTTATAACTGAAATTTTAAACCGAATCAACTTATTACTAGTATGCACCATAAACTGACCAAAAAATTTTGCTTATTTAAATATGTTTCGATAGATAAACATTAAGCAAGTGTAATACTTATAACTCAAATATTACTTAACAACAAAACTGATCTATGTTAGCGTATTGGATTAAAATATTCGTTTTATTCAAGTAGAAGAAAAAACTGGCCGAATCTCCTCAAATAACAAATGTACAAAACAAATATCTAATGCAATCACATCGTAATTTTAATATTTTGAAATATACAACTCTATAAATTTCGAGGCACGCTATACAAAAATATAATGTACACATAACTCTAACAGGGAATACTTGCGTATTGTAATTATTCTCTCATAATTTAATAAAATAGAGGAAACTAAGTCTGTAAAATAATTAACTGAAATAGCTCATAAAATATATGTAAATTTGTCACTTTGAAACTTCTTTAATATCTATTTCAGCAAGTTTACAGTGCTCAACAGTATGCAACATTTTGATAATGAACTCGAAAATTGTCGTTAATATATATATCTCCGTGTGTTAAGTTCAATCTGAATGTCTTCTGCCATCTTGTCAATACTCTTTTTAAGTAAACGCTTAATCAAAATTCATTTGATATATAAATTATACTTCTGATATACACTTATGTTTCTGTGAGAGTTTATTTCCATTAACGCCAATAGGTCACGAAGACGTCTTTATTTAAGCACATTAAATGTTTCTACTTAATCCTCATCTTGTTATTACAGAGAAAAACAAAAAGAAATAAGTTTAACATTGCAAAATAAATAATGTAAATCTGTAATTATTGTTAACCTTTTTGTAATTCATTATAATTCAATGGATAGTTTGCATCAGTTAACGAAGTGAAGTAAGAACATTTTTAACGTGTTGACGAACCAAATATGAATAATTTTCCAGGTGCAAAAAAAAAAAAATGAATAAGAAAATATTACAGGCCACTGCATTAATAGAAGCAGTTAAGACAAACGTGGGGATGATCTGTAGCAATTTTAATTCGACTAACTTTATTTCACACATTTCTTTAAAAATACGGATCGGGTGTGAATCCAAGGTTGTCCCTAAAACTTGCTTGCAACTTGAAACCTTTGCTATTAGTGTGGCTGCTGTCATTAACTAGCTGTCTTCCTTGTAGTCTATAAGTACGAAATTAAGGTCGGCTGTGAGCAGATAGCCCTTGTATAGCTTTGCTCGAAAATTTGAAACAAACAAAATTAAAAGATAATGAATTAAGTATTTGAAAATAACTAAATAATGAAAACTTTACTTTTCGTTTGCGTCTTATTATATTTATAATACTTTAAACGGTGTCTTATTGAAAATTCTAATGTTTGGTTACTCTTTTGAGATCAACGAGTCAATTATATTGCGAATTAGCATATTTTGTTGTTTGGAAATGCCTTTATTTCTCAATTTTATTAAACACCTACAACGCCTGGCATGGACTGGTGGTTAGTGCGCTCGACTCGTAATCTGCGGATCGCGTATTCGAATCCCAGTCACCGTAATGCTCGTCCTTTAAGCCGTGAGGACATTATAACGTGACTGTCAACCCTACTACTCGTCGACAAATTAGTATCCCAAGAGTTGGCGGTGGGTGGCGTAGACTGGCTGCGTTCCCTCTAGTCTATCACTGCTAACTTAGGAACGGCTAGCGCAAATAGCTCTCCTGTAGCTTTGCGCGAAATTCTAAACAAACCTAATACAACTACAATATATAATCCACAGTCTTGAACACTAATCGTTTGATGTAGTTTCTAGAAATATCTAAGGATTTATCGAATTTCAAATTACTTCTTACACAGTTATCATGCTATTTAAAGTATTTAATTGGCTATAACCTTCCCAAGCGGACTTGTTCCTTGTTACCATTCAAATTATTTCACTAACAAAAAAAAAATAAAAAATAAAAAATCTCCGATAAGAAAAGAATTCACAGTTTCTAAGTGTTGCAGAAGAACTTGAACCCCAACATGAAATTTACTATGGTAGTATGTAGGCTCTTTTGCCCAACAAAAATAAGAGCCTAGCTAGATAAATGGATAGATATTTTTTATTTTAGGGTGGACATGGATATTGACTGATTTCTACTAGATGCGCATTGAGTTTGTTAAAAAACAGTTAAAAACAATTATGTTGTGTAGACACTACAAATATATCTTATCACAGGTAGAAATATATCTAGTCTAGGAGGAGGTATATAATCTTTAAATCTGCTACAACTCACTAATGCAATAAACTTTTCAACTTTCTATAAGAAAACACATTGATTTTTACTTTGTTATAAAGTGTTGTAGCTTTTACGCAAATGAAGCTTGAAAATTTACCAACGACACCACGCTTATTTTCAAGTAAACCCATTAATTTAATTGAATGTGACTGTCAACATTAAATAGCTAGACGCTAAACTCTTGATGGATGCAATAATTTATAAATTTCCAATGCATTAGTCGATCCTCTGCTTGAAAGGTACGAAACGGTGCAACATTATTCTAAACTCTACTGAAAAACTACAGTATCAAGATATCTTAAAACCAGCTTCGATAGAACATTATTATGCTAGCAACTAAATACCTTGTAATTTTTTATCTTATTTTAAAATTTGGTATGGATAATACGAATGTAAACTGTTAATCTTATTTTACCCTAAAATTAAAGAAGCTAAAAAGGAGCTCAAAACTTTAATTTAATTATGTTACTTTTTTTTTACAAACTCGGGAAATACTTCTTATGTAAGTTTTAATATTTTATTTTTTACAGGTCGTGTGTTTTATGCCATTTTTTTAGATATTATGTTTTTATATACCAGTGAATTAACTGATGATTTTGTTTCTTATATCACACACATAAGCTATATCTACTTTTATGAATAATAACATTCAAATTCGAAAGTTAATGATTCTTATTCTTCATATACACTATAAAGACCAATATTTATTTCAAATGTAGACGCTCTGTAATAAAGTGGATTTACATATTTTCAATAGCATGTTAAGGACAATATATCAAGTTACATGTTCTTTACTTTAAGTGGCATAAATCTTGTACAACGTTTTGAAAATAGCAGAAAAGCTATATCTTTAAAACAACTAACTCATTTTTTGATTCTGGAATAAAAACAATTTCATAAAGTATGCACATCGTATTTAGTTCATTTTAAGTACTCTCAACCACAGAAACTTAAGTCCTTTAAAATTGGTATTAACGTTTCATTTCAATTAATAATGTTTTCTTATTGCAGTGGTTCTTTTCTAAAAAAACATATTTCTGACAATCAGTTATTTTTATCTTTGACAAAATTCCAAGAAAGGTAAGTAGCAATATAAATCAAAAAGCTATGTATTAAATCGAATTCCTGAAATGATTTCATTGGCTTATTTATTTTAAATTTCTTTCGTTTTTTATTTGCAGTAAAACACTACAATATACCTGACTGCCACCTAGCGGGATAATTAATCACTCACGAGTATGAAAAAAAACGACTAAGTTGCTATTGCTGAAGTTTATATGTAATAAATTAAATTTAGGAAACTGGGCGGATATTTAAGAAAAAAATATCAAAATAATGAGAATATTTAACTGCAATGTAAAATAATTATAATCAAAGATATCCTTTCAAAATGAAACTGTCAAGAACAATTAAAGGAAATACTAAATAGTTAAAATCTACATTATAGTTAGTAAACCTTGATATATATAAAATCATACTAACGAATAGAAATATAAAGTAGTGCGGTTTCCATGGTTTCACCAATCCCTTCTTTCTTTCATTGTCGGTTTAACAGGAACTTATGTTGATGTTCTGTTATATTAGATTAATTGAAGTCGTTCTAAACTGTATCATAAGTAAACATTGCAAATTATAATTCAAACAGCGCATTGGATTGATTTTATCAAAGCTCCAAGATGGTTAGAGTCAAGGAAGTGTGTTTACGAACTTAATTTTCCTTTAACAATGCGCGTTTCCCTTTTCTTTCTACAATAAAAAAAACGAAGTAACCTTTTTATCTTAAAACACTGATAAGACAATATTTAAATTTATCAAAACCTGACGAGAATTTAAAATATTAAATACAGCTTTGAGGAAAGCACTAGTGTACTTTTAACTTAGTGAAAAAAATATTACGGCTGTTTAACATCTCTTGATTTAACTGAAATAGAAGTAACGCTTTAGGTGTGTGTTATATATTTATTTCATTGCAGTCTTGTAGCAATGAAATACCTGTTTATGATTAATACTGTTTGTATAAAAATGAAATTGTAATTTCTAATATTGAAATCTTACTTATTTATTTATTTTTTTGCTTCTTTGGAAAAATGTGTCTTTTTTCACTTAATATTTCAAACTGAAGTTCAGAGTTTAATCTCCATTTATATTTTGAAATATGTTAGCTATATTATATACAAGCGACATATAAAATTACAGATATCAGACATAAATGTATTACAATTCTAAGATTGTGTTTTCTTGAAACAAACTTGACAACTAAGGAACTAAAGAGACATAAGAAATAAAACAAGGTTTTTAAATGTAAATGTTTTGAATTACTCACTTTCCTGGGCTGACACTATCTCCGTACTAAGTAGAACAATAAAAGCTAAACAAGGGTTTTCGATTTTTGTTACTGTTCACCATTACTTTGAAAATGCTTAACATATAAATTTGAAAATGCTTTGAAAATGCTACAAATACAAGATATAATTATAAAATAATGGTAGAATGAAGGATTAACTTTTTAACTAAGACGATTC